TTTTATGAATTTATAAAGATATGACTCACCTTATGTTGTTGTTGTTTTTAAAAAATGCACTCAAAATAACTGTCCTCCTGTTGCTGCCAGCTTCCTCCCTGATTCTAATTGCTGCCTTGTGCCTGACCCGCTCAGCTCTCATAGACTTGCTTTGCCTGATATTTCTTTGCACGATATTTCCTCATCATGAGGAAGGGGGTGACGGGGTCCAAGCTGCGATGGTGAGGCCCAGAAAAGGAAAGATTAACCACTTTTTCAAGGTAGACTGGAAGAAAACACCTGCAAGGCTTTAAAAATTTCTGAATTTTTCTTTCTTTCTTTCTTTCTTTTTTTTTTTTTTTGAGATGGAGTCTTGCTCTGTCACCCAGGCTGGAGTGCAGTGGCGCCATCTCCGCTCACCACAAGCTCCGCCTCTCGGATTCCCACCATTCTCCTGCCTCAGCCTCCCAAGTAGCTGGGACTACAGGTGCCCACCACCACACCTGCCTAATTTTTGTATTTTTAGTAGAGATGGGGTTTCATCATGTTAGCCAGGATGGTCTCGATCTCCTGACCTTGTGATCTGCCCAACTCGGCCTCCCAAAGTGCTGGGATTACAGGCGTGAGCCACCACAGGCGGCCAAAGTTCTGAAATTTTATCTGGGGGTGGGAGTAGGGGTGGTTGGGAGGTGTGTGAGTATCCTGTTGAACCTCCCTATACCAGGGATCCTCACGCTTGAACAGCATCAATCCCCTGGAGGCATGTGGGTTGCTGGACCCACCCCAATGTGCCTAATTCAGGAGGTCTGGGGAGGGGCTCAAGAACTTGCATTTCCAGTGATGCTGATACTGCTGGTTGAGGGACCACATCTTGAGACCCGCTGCCCTGAGGTGTTCCAGTAGAAGAGCTCTGGGATTAGTCAGAGCTGACTGAGTTCAAATCTAACTTTGCTGTTACCAGCTATGTGACTTAGGGCAAGTCATTCAAAACCCCCCAAATACACAATAATAATAACTCATAAGAATAATAATACTGCCAATGTTTTGATCAAACAGTGTTCAAAACACTGACCTCACTGTGTCATTGTGAGGACTAACAGAGATGCTGCCAATTAAAGAACCAGGCACAAGTCCCAGACACAGCTCTGTTTGAGCAGGGGATCAGGGTCTGTTTCTGACATATGGAGAAGGGAACCGCCCATCACCATGGCTGGACCCGGATTTCCTCCTCATCCATCCAGAGCCCTCAGCAAGGCCAGGGTGTTCTCCCGGTCAGAAGTGTCACCACAGTGTCCCAATGTTTCCAGGTGCCCTTTAGGACTCCCATGAGAGAAACAAGGCCCTTCGCTCCCCTGCTGTGTCCCTGGCAGTTGGCTGGGCCCAACCAGGAAACCTTTTCTAAAGCTTTTCCCATATAGTCAACCCAGCCATTGGAACCAGCCCCCAGGCAAAGACAGAGTCTCATGATTTTTGCATATTGTTTGCTCACTCCACTTTACAAAAATACAATTACCATCATGTTTGCCCTGCAAAGGAAGCATGCTTATGTATACAGTAAGGTGTCCCAGAGTACAACCTCTAAGCAGAGACATAGCGGAGCACACCCAACCCTGGAGCTTGAATGATCTCTCAAGAGTGCCTATTTAGGCCATGCTCACCACACTGGATGTGCCCTTGAAAGACTCGCGCCTTTGTGATGCTTTACCTCCTTATGGGAAAGGGGCCAGGGAACATCTAGTCAATAAGCCCTGACTACGGAGCCTACAGAGGTGGCGTAGTCATTGTAGATCACTAGTACTTCGCCAATACCTGGATGACAAAGGCTGGAGTGGGGTCTCACAAGGTGAGGTCCTCCTACGCCTAGCATTGGCATTCTTGGAGAGGCTTGTTAAATGCAGATTCCTGGGCCCCACCTGGGGGCTTCCTGGTGATGAAGAGGTCTTATTGCAAAGTGGTTGGCTCCAATGTGCAGAGCCTGGAGTCTGCCTGTTGATCCTGGAGCCAAATCTACCTGCTGGGTGCCATCTCGGGCATGAGCCTCCAGGACCATCCAGCTTTGCTCTTCTACACCACCAGCATTATCACTAAGATGCCACCACCCCCTTCCCAATAATGCTCCCCTTTTAAACCCGTAAGCCTTCTTCACTAACCACCTTGTAAAAGAAGGCCTAAGGGCTGAGTGCACATTCTGCACAAATGGAAGCTATTCAAATACAAGTTCCTGGGTGGCAGGCTGTGTCTTCCATCTCTTCCTCCTGCCCCAGAGGACCCTCGTACAGTGGACATCCAGCTAACACACGGAAGGAGGCAGGCTCACAATCCCTGTAACATGGGGCATGCGTACCTATGTCTCCAGGTCGAGTGACCTGACAGCCATCTGTGATTGGTTTGCTGCTTTTCACGCCATTGCTTTTTACCTCCTAATGGTCTCCATAGCATATATGCCAGCAGGCATTTTTAATCAGAAGAAATTAAAATGAGTTGCTTTGAAAATGTCACTGCCTCTTTGGACACGATGAAGGTCAGGCGGGATGTCACTAACCAGTGGAGAGAATCCTGGCTTCGGTGAAAGAAAGAAAACGCGGCACTGAAGAATGCAAAGTAGAAAGAGGGTTTCTCTAGAAGCACACAGAACCCCGCCTCTCACTGTCTGTGTGACCCTGGGCAAGTCATTTACACCTCTGTCTCCTTGGTTCTGTAAAACAGGGATGAGAATCCAGGACCTCCACCAGTAATTACACAAAGTGATGTGTGGCAGAGCACACGACCTGGAGTAGACGCTCTCAGTGGAGAGAACGGGTCCGTGTAATAATTATCCCTCATATTTGAATAGGACTTTCTAAGCACTTTCTACAAAGCACTTTCTAATATGTTACAGGGCTAACTGAGTGTCAATGATTAACAGATACCTAAGCAGAAAGAGAGACAGTCTTTGGTCCACTTAACAGTGGGGAATGGTTCTGTGGTTCCCCGGGGAACAGGCAGAGCTGTGAGTGTTTGATCTTGGCACAAAATGATTCTGACCGCTACTATTCTTTCTATCAGGAATGGAGATTTAATTAAATACCGATTTGTCTTTAACAACTTTGAAACACCCTTTTCACCATGAGAGCTCCAAGTGATTTGCAAGGGAATAGGAGGTAGCTTACTGGGGCCCAGAGAAAACATTCCAAAGCACAAGTCTGGGTTTCTGTATTTATTTACTCTTTGTGTCTCTGCTTCTCTAGCTCTGTGTCATACACACACACATCCCTATGGATGGCAAGTGAGGAAGACACACTGTTAAAAACACTCAGACATGGTCAAGTCAGAGAAAATGCCACAGCCCTCTAGAACCATATTCTGTATACCAACAATGCCTGAGATGATTTTTTTTCCTGACCTCCAGATGCCCGTTTTACCAGGTTATCAGCAGGTTATCCTAAGGCCCACCCTCTATTAAGGAAGTCAGAGTAGGGGTCCAGGAGTCTGCATTTAACAAGCCTTTCTGGTAATGCGAATGCTAGGAGTAGGAGGACCCCACCTTGCGAGATCCCACTCCAGCATTTGCCATCCACGTGTTGGAGAATATATGGACCAAGCCAGCCTAGTAAATCGTTTCCCCCTCTTCCCCATTTGAATCCCTCAGGATTTACACCTTGGGGGAAGCCGAGCGTTTCCCTGACAACAGATGACTAATATAGAAGTCCCTGTGAACAGGCGGAAGACAGGGGTGGACAAGAGAAACAATGTGGACAGGTCTCAAGTTGAAACAACAGGCTCTTGACAGTCTCAGGCACACACACTGACAGGGAGGGGCCCTGGGGCTCAGGCAGGGGAGACACTGCCTAAGGAAGCCCAGTGTTCTGTCGGGAGGGAGGGAGGCCTTAGTGAACTCTTAAGGGCAGGTCAAGTCAAGTCTCACTTTATTTTTGGAGTTTATTTTTGGAATGAAATTTATAGAGAGAGTGTGATCAGAAGGACAATTGGGTACCTGGGGCTAGAAGCTAGCTAGATGTGGGGCCCCCAGAAGGAGGACTTGGCAGGCAGGTAAGTCTAGGGAGAGCTCACCCCTAGCAGGAGCTGGCCCCAGGTTCATGACCTCGTTTCTCAGAAAGTTCTCTGTGGCCACGTGGGTTTGGTCCCTCATGTTCTCTCTCACCACTCCTGTCTAGGGCCTCTGTTCCCACCAGCCTCCAGTCTCTGCCCACGTCTCATGATCCCCTGCCTTCCCTGCAAGTCAGTCGGTCTGTCCAAATTCTGCCCATCTTCCTAAGGCCCAGCTCAGGCCTGACTCTGCGGGGCCTTCCCTGACCATACCAGCAGAATACACTCTCCCTCTCACAGTTCCCATCACCTTATATCTATCATCAGCTGAGCTTTATGCACACACAGGGCAAAGGCTAGAACCTTCTGATGGCCTTTCCTTCAAATGAGGAACAGGAACCTCATGGTGGGACCTAAGTCATGAACTGGATGTTGGATGTTGCTTCGTCAGTTGAGCTTACAGTAGGCACAAAGACCCTCAACCTTGGCTGCGCATCAGAGCCACCTAGAAAGTTTTAAAAAACACTGATGAGGCTGGGCGCAGTGGCTCACGCCTGTAATCCCAGCACTTTGGGTGGCCAAGGTGGGCAGATTACCTGAGGTCAGGAGTTCGAGACCAGGAGTTCGAGGTCAACATGGTGAGACCCTGTCCCTACTAAAAATACAAAAATTAACCGGGCATGGTGGCAGGTGCCTGTAATTCCACTACTTGGGAAGCTGAGGCAGGAGAATCGCTTGAACCTGGGAGGCAGAGGTTGCAGTGAGCCAAGATTGCGCCATTACATTCCAGCCTGGGTGACAAGAGCGAAACTCTGTCTAAAACAAACAAACAAACAAACAGAAAACCAAAACGCATGCCAAAATAATACCGATGCCTATCCTTGCCACAGATCAACTGAAACCAGTTATCTGTGGGTTAACCAAGTCAAAAGCTCCCTGGGCTATTCTTTTTTTTTTTTTTTTTTTAGAAACTGATGTTTATTTTCTATCAACTATTTTTCCATGTTGCTTAAGAGCCCGTGCAAGAACAGCTTAAGACCATTCAGTGGTTGCTCCTACCCATTCAGTGGCCTGAGCAGTGGGAGCTGCAGACCAGTCTTCCGTGGCAGGCTGAGCACTCCAGTCTTCAGTAGGGAACTGCTGAATAGGCACAGAGGGCACCTGCACACCTTCAGACCAGTCTGCAACCTCAGGCTGAGTAGCAGTGAACTCAGGAGCTGGAGAAGTCAATTCACCCTGAAATTCCTCCTTGGTCACTGCCTTTTCAGCAGCAGCCTGCTCTTCTTTTTCAATCTCTTCAGGATCTCTGTAGAAGTACGGATCAGGCATGACCTCCCATGGGTGTTCACGGGAAATGGTGCCACGCATGCGCAGAACTTCCCGAGCTGGCATCCACCACATCAAACCCACTGAGTGAGCTCCCTTGTTGTTGCATGGGATGGCAATGTCCACATAGCGCAGAGGAGAATCTGTGTTACACAGAGCAATGGTAGGTAGGTTAACATAAGATGCCTCCGTGAGAAGCTGGTGGTCAGCCCTGGGGTCAGTAACCACAAGAAGCCGTGGCTCCCGGAAGGCTGCCTGGATCTGGTTAGTGAAGGTTCCAGGAGTGAAGCGGCCAGCAATTGGAGTGGCTTCAGTGGCAGCAGCAAACTTCAGTACGGCCCTCTGGCCAGTATTCCTGGAGGATATAACACTGACATCAGCAGGGTTTTCAATGGCAACAATGGCACGAGCCGCCAGCAGAAGCTTCTCCCAGGTCCTCTTCAGATTTATGATGTAGATGCCATCACTTTTCCTTTTATAGATGTACTGCTCCATCTGGAAGTCAAGATTGGTGCCATCTAAGTGGGTTCCTGCTGCAAGGAACTTAAGGACATCCTCCTCCTTCATTTGCAGGACATCAAGGGCTCCGGACATTGTGAAAGTTTCCCTTTAAGTTACGACGGGAATCCAGAACAACGCCGTATGGACCCCTCTGTAGGTAGCGCGGAAAGCTGGGCTATTCTGATGCACTGTGGAAGCTGAGAGCCAGTACAATAGGCTGATGCTCATTCTTAGCCATGAAAGGGCAATTTGAGAACAAAGCTACTTTCCCTTCATTCTAACACCATGAGAGTTCAACATATGGGGTAGCTACTGTTGTTCTTTTGTTCTTTTTCTGATCTCCACTCCTTTAGAAATGGGGGGAAAAAACACCAAGACTCGATGTAGGCTTAAAGTAACCAGAGACCAAGGAATGATTGCCAAGGATGGCAAATAGCTATGTAGCCACTCCATTCCATGCCCTTGACAGGCACTGCTAAACAATAGTGGTGCATGTTCTGTCTGAACCAGAAGTGTCCTCACGGTGTTCACTACTCTGTGCTCCAGGTAGATCCAATCAATTAGAGTTGACATCTTAGTTGAATGTATTTGTTACTCCTGCTAGATGAAGCAGAAATAGAAATGCCCTGATTGCTTAGGATTCGATCAAGAAAGTCAGTGGTAATGGTAGTTTTTTCCTAACTATCCTTGGATGTCCTCAGGGCCTAGCTTTAGATGGGAAAGGCGATTCTGAGTTTCTTCAGAGTGAGCCAATGTATTCATCTTTCTAAAGAAATTTAGCATGGTCTCCCATTGGCTCTCTTGGCTGACCCAGGGCAAGGAAGGCTACACAGAGAGGAGTAGGCCATCTGAGAAAGATGGCCAAGTGTGTTTTCAAACCAAGTTGACAACGTTGTCAATTTCCCCACCACTTGAGCATGGTCTAGAAGTAATCAAACCATTCCTTTGTCTCCATGTGTATGGGATTCTTCATGTTCTTTCTTCTCTAAAGGCCTGACTGTGTGCTTGTTAATGGGGTGACCTTAGCTCTACTTTTCCGAACTATATTTCAAGTGTCCTGGATTGTTTTTCTAATCAGGACAGCACACCACCTGACCCCAGCCGACTCTTCCAGCCTGATCTCCCTTTTCACCCTCAGAAGTCCAGGTTCTGGCCACAGCATTGTTGCTTTCTCCTGACTGTGTGTCTCTCCTTCATGCTATTGTCAGCACCTAAAATGTCCTTGCTTCCATTTCTGTCTGCTTTGGCCTTACTCCCACATCAAGATCTACTCAAATTACACTTCTTGCCTAAGGTTCCCCAGCCTCACCCATTATCCTAGATCTCTCCTTCCTCTGGTCTCCCATTGTGCCCATTGTGCCCTTCTATTTTGGCCAAGGGAAGCACACAACTATTTACTAAGCATCTACCAAGTGCCAGTCACTGTCCTAGGTAGTAGTATTAAGAATCTGGTTTTATTTAATCTTATCATCACTTCTATTTCTTAGATCTCGCCATCTGCATCTTATTAATGAGAAAATTGAAAACCTTCACAGTTCAGTGATTTGTCTAAGGTGGCAGAGCCCACATCTCCTGTGCTTTTCCAGGCTCTGTTCTTTCTTCTGTTCTCCTCTGTCTCCAAGGTGGAATTTCCCCTTGTCTGCCTTGTACATAGAAACTGGAGTCAGATAATCTAGGATCAGGGCCCAATCACCTATTTAGTTACTCTGTTGTTTTGGCAGTTTACTTAACTGTTTGGCCTTGTTTCTTCATTTGTCAAAGAGGATTAAAATAATACCCACCCACCTTATCCCATGGAGGAGAGCTCCTCTATTCACAGATTGTGAGCCTCTTGGGATGAGTCCTCATTGCACTCATCTTTGTGTCTTAGTACTGATTGGCGCTGGGCCTAACACAGTAAATGCTCAATAAATCCTTGTAATTAAATTACATGAAATTAAATTGAATGAGTAAACAGGTTAGGGAAAAAACTCGAACACCTCACCTCATTTTTTTGGGTCCAGAATTGATTGTTCCCAACAGCGTCACCTGGAATGGATTTTGGTCACATTCACTTGTAACTGGTTTGCTATTTGCTTTGTTTAGCAAATTCCTTCACAGAAAGACAGAGAGGGAGCCTGGGAAGGCAGGGTAAGGGTGTGGGAAGATGCTGGAATCTGAGAAGGAGCTCAGATTGTTGGTTGAACATATTGCTGTCTGTGTGGAAAATGTTCACAGCAGTTACAACTTTGGATGAATATGCATTAGCGGCGGTGCTGCAATTTGCTCGCGTGTGCCACGCTACACTTGGAGACTTGGCAAGATGGGTAATTATCTCCACATTATGTGCCTTGTCTCTTTCTCTTCTTAATTAAGTAACTAATCTGGTGGAGGAGAGCTCTGTTTGTGTTTGTTTGGCAGGTGCAGCCTCGTGACAGTTGTCTGGAGAAGTTTCTTGGAAATTTATGAGACTTTCAAAAAACAAACTGCTCGGAGCTGAGCCGACCTGCTGGAGCCTGGGAGAATCAGAGTCAGCCCTCTGCTGGAGCACAAGACAGTGTGGCAGTTGCTGCTTCTCCCAGACTGAGTGGCTCCTGCTAGGGGGGCCTGCTGGGGGTGCCGACCTTCCAGAACTGTCCCAGGGCATTGGGAAGCAGGCCTCTCCCAAGGGCAAGCTCTCCTTGTAGGGAGGAGGGAAGTCAGGGGCTGGAATTAGAGTAACAATGGGTTCTTCCTTTTGTTTCCCTCTGGATTTCTGTATTTGGGTAGTTTTTTTCTGTCAGTCCCATGGGACTCTGTAAAGGAATTGATTAAACAAGTTAAGTGCTGAACACTTATTGAATACTGATCACGTGGCTCATGGCTGACATAAGGGTGCTTGGCTGGGCTGGATTGGTTGAATCCAGATGACCCAGGCCAGTGACCCGGGAGATGTTGGGTTCCATGCTGCTGCAGTGTGGTCACTCAGCAGAGGGCATGGGTCATCATCACTCTGATGGGTCTTCCAGGCTGCACAGTGACCAGCACAGGCTGGCCCAGGAGAGTGGAGGATGGTGCAGATTCTTTCAGGGCCATGAGTTAGTTGCAGGAGAGGGGTGGGGAAGAGCCGGGCCAGCTAATGGTAGGATGTCACAAATCCAGGAACGCAAATGAAGGAGTTACTAAGGAAGTGCACGTGACCATGCTGAATCTTGCCGGCACACTTATGTGGGTCACAGATAGTACTGTCAATCACGAGGAGAATCCCCTAAACAAACATAGATGCCCAATGCAGACAGATACAGTTGTGGGCTGCTTAGCTCAGATAGCTGCCCTGGGCCAGGGGGCCCTTGCTTTGAGCCTTGAGTTCTGGTTCTTTATTTGAGGTGATGGTCTTGTCTTCTGTGTGGTTATATATCACCCAATGCACATCCCACTTCAATGACATAAGCTGTCTGACTCCCCAATTAGTGGCCCATGCTGGGGGATGGCAGTATGATGCTGTGGGAGGCAGAACTCTGAGATGATCCCCAAGATTACCCTGGTTCACACACACTTTCCCCTCTTTGTCAAACCCCAATCTTGGTACTGCTGTGAAGGGATTTTGCAGATATAATTAAGGTCCCTAAACAGTTGGCTTAAAAACAAGGAAATTATTGGGTGAGACTGACCTAATCTCATGGGTCCTTTAAAAGCACAGAGTTTTCTCCAGCTGGTTGCAGAAGAGAAAGTTAGAAACTTGAAGTATGGGAATGATTCCATACACCATTTCTAGCTTGAAAATGGAGGAGTCCACGTGGCAAGAAGTTTGGGTGGCCTCTAAAAGCTGAGAATAGTCCTTGAGAAAACAGACCTCAGTCCAACAACCACAAGGAAATGAATTTTACCAACAACAAGAATGAGCTTGAAAGTGGATTTCTCCCTAGTGCCTTCAGTTGAGAACTCAGCCTGGCCACACCTTGATCTCAGTTGTGTCATTACCTGATCAGGGAACAGCAATGCTGTGCTGACTTCTGACCTATAGAGCCATGAGCTGGTAGATGGGTGCTATTTGAAGCCACTGAGTTTGTGCTGATTTGTTCTGCATCAATAGAAAATAAATACAGGTGTTTGGCCTCCCACTTACCTAGGAGAAAAGTTGCTAAAAGATTCTGACATTTCTTTTACAGTCTAGGCACATGTGGACCTGGATTCTAGTCTACGCTTTGCCATTGGCTTGCTTAGTGATCTCAGACAAGTCATGTCCCTTCTCTGGCCCTCAGTTTTCTCTTTAGTAAAAGTAGGAGTTGGACCCAGTGATTTTTAAGGTCCTTCGTAGGATGCTCATTCTAATTGTGGGTATAGACACCAATGTAAAGAAATGCAGGGAGAATGACCACCTGGAAGCTGTAGTTTAATTTGCATAAGATCTCTGGCTTCAAGGTCAGAGTAATCCTCGCATGAGACTATTTCTATATTGCCATATTCTGCTCAAACACCTTTTATGAATCTCCACTGCCTTTAGGAAAATGGAGGGCCTTCCTCTCTCTGCTATTCAGAATCTCTGTAATTTGGGCCTAGTCTCACTCTGGGCCTTGTGCTCCACTTCTTCTCTCTACACTCCTATGCTTCAACCAGATAGATCTCACATACCACCTTCCATGTCCGCGTTCATTCTCCTCCATTTTCTATGTTGTCCATCCCTGTCACCAGACTAAAAATTGAACACACAAGTTTCCGTCCTAATCACTTTGGGCCTCTGTAATGGAATACCATAGGCTGGGTGGCTTAAACAGCAACAACTTAGTTTCTCACAGCTCTGGAGGTTGAAAGTCTGAGGTCAGGGAGCCAGCATGGTTGGGTTCTTGGTGAGAGTCCTCTTCTTGGTTTACATAAGGCCACTTTCTTGCTGTATCTTCATGTGGTGGAGGGAGATCATGTTTCTTGTGTCTTTTTTAATAGATAGGGTCTCACTCTGTCAGCCAGACTGGAGTGCAGTGGTATGATTATAGCTCACTGTCGCCTCAAACTCCTGGGCTCACATGATCCTACTGCTTCAGCATCCCAAGTAGCTAGGACTACAGGTGCACATTAGCCACCATATCTGGCTAATTTTTAATTATTTTTGTAGAGAAGGGTCTCGCTACATTGCCCAGGCTGATCTTGAATTCCTGGACTCAAGAGATCCTTCTGCCCTGGCCTCCCAAAGTGCTGGGAGTACAGGCATGAGCCATCTGAGCTCAGCCATAATTGTGTTTATAAGGACTCCACTCTCATAACCTAATCACCTCCCAAAGCCCCACTTTCTAATTCTGTTACAGGGGCAGTTAGAATGCCAACATATGAATTCCAAGGGGATGCAAACATTCAGCCCACTGCACTTCTCATCTTCCAAGGTTTAGCTTGAGACACATCTGCTCCAGAAGCTTTCCTGATAGCTCTATATGAGTAAGGCTGTCTTTGGTGGTAACAATAAAAACCTCAACTCAAACTAGGTTGAGAAGAAAAATATGGAAACTAGTGATTCATGTAACTGAGGAGTCTAAGGTTAACCTGAGGCACAGATGGATCCAGGGAACAAATTATGCCATTGGGACTTTGTCTGTCTCTAGCCATCTCTTTTCTTGGCTTCCCTTTGTGAGTCAGTGTCCTTCTCCATGTGAGGTAAGGAGTATGGGCCCTGGTAGCCTGAAGACTGATTCCTTATGGCTTGAAAGTCAAAAGGAAGAAGTTTCCTGTCTCTCCCAGCATCTCTTTTTCCCCCAGCATGTCGGTTT